GCTCTATTTCCTGTCTCCCGTGTTGCATCAGGCCGTTTCTTTAGCACCGTTTTTTTCTCTCTCACTAAGGCTGATTCTTATTCAACAGGATTCTTCACTCAAAAAACCATCAAGATCCAGGATGGACAATATTCCGGCTGGAAAAAGTCCGACCGTTCTTATAGTGAACCGGATTTATCAGGCGGATTCTTGGGGGGTGGGTGTAGATCGAACCCAGACGACGTTTTCATCGATTGAGACCTGAGGTCTCGACGTATCGCTCCCATCAAGGGCTCCGAGCAACCCTACGCTGAAGGGTTTGCTATTCTGCATCCTAGTTGTTAATGGTCGCTCGGCACGCGTGCGTAAAAATGTCATTTCGCGTCACACCAAACATGGGACGCCGCAACGGGCCAAACCGTCACGAGACAGCAAAAATAGCCGCTTTTTGTCAGAGACGGGAGAACACCGCAACTGATTTCTCGCTTCCTAGACGACCACCGATCGAAGCCAGACCGGCCAGGATGTGCTTTCTGTCCCTTGCTCTCTGTCGGAGTACATTTACTCAGCAGCTCGTTGATCCAATCATTCGAAATTGTCGTGTGCGTGTGCACAAGCTGACTGTTGAACATTACTCTCAGGCCTTCAACACGTCAGCCAATTCTCACGTGAAGCTGAACAGAAAAAAGCACATTTCGAAAACGGACACCACGCGCTGTTTCTCTCCGTCGATTGAGAGTACGAGCTGCTGGCCGAATGTACTCCGACAGAGAGCAAGGAACAGAGAGTACATACTGGCCGGTCTGGCTTCGACCGGTAGGCTAGGGAGCGAGAAATCAGTTGCGATGTCCTCCCTTCTCTGACAAAAAGTGGCTTTTTCTGGTGCCTCGTGGCGTTTTGGCCCATTGCGGCGTCTCCATCTTTGGTGTGATGCGAAATAACATTATTACGCACGCGTACCGAGCGACCATCAACAACCCCCATGCAGAATAGCAAACCCTTCAGCGTAGGGTTGCTCGCAGCCCTTGATGGGAACGATACGTCAAGAACTCAGGTCGCACTCGCCGATCGTGTCGGCTGGGTTTACCAGCGGTGAATTTTTTGGGACAGAAAATCGGGCTGGGCACCATCCTGGATTCTGCGCAACTTTCTGGGCGGCGTGTTTGTGTATACTCGGTTCGCATCCTGACGAGTACACGCACAAACAGCCCCCCTACTCGGTACGAGATATGATCTACGAGATCTCCGAGGGTTACGCAGATAGATACATGATGGTTGTGATGGACTTGACGCGCTAGGCTCCGCTTGCCTGCCCATGTCTAACTCGTTAATCGTTAATCAAGGAACTTGAGTCACTCCTTTGTGCAAAACGCTCTTGTAGTCCGCGAGCGTGGAAACATAGTACACGCGCCGACACCCTAAACACGGCGGCAACCCAAAAAGCTGAACCCGGATTTGGCCGACAAGAAAAAGTGTCAATTCCGACTGTATAAGAAGCCGGAATTTGGCGATCCTGGATTGTGATGTTTTTTTCGGTTAAGCCTGAGGGGGGGATGCCTGCAAGGGAAAAATGATGTAGATTTGAAGGACCTTCTTACGGCTCTCCGAGACATGTTCTTTTCCCGGTGGAAAAATATGACCGATTCAAGTTGTGTTGGTCACAAAATGCTTCAGTTCACGTTTTGGCTCGTGTGCTGCCAACAAAAGACACAGAGCACCCTGTTTTGGGTCGCCTGCAGGGGGCATGTGTACAACGGCACACCGTTGGCTGCAGGCCGTGGATGTCGTCGGCCGAATGCCTCCCTCTGGCATGGGGTGTGGACTGATCACACGGAGCAACCAGAAGAAAAAAAAATGGCAACAAATCCAACAAGGCAACACCGAAACACACTTCGATTCACGTTTGCAGGCCGGGTGTAACCAAAACTAGACAAACACAATACGCTCTGTTTCTGGGACGCAAACAGAGGCACATGTATGACAACATGCCATTGGCTACAGTTTGTGGATGTCGTCGGCCTAAAGCCTACCTCTGGCATGCATGTTTGACTGGTAGCGGGTGACACGCGGAGCACACACGCGGCGGACAAGAAAAAATCCACCGAAACACACTTCAACACCGAAACACACTGCGGTTCACGTTTGCAGGCCGTGTGCAATCAAAACTGGACAATACGCCCAGTGTCTGGGACGCGAGCAGAGCGTATGTGAATGACCACACGCCATTGGCTGCAATTTGTGGATGTCGTCGGCCTAAAGCTTTTCTCTAGCATGCGTGTTTGACTGGTCACACATACATGCAGCAGGCACAAGAACGGCTCTATTTCGCCGAAAGGCAAGAACTTCAGCAGAGTGTTGACGTTTTCGGCTGGTGTGCTGCCAACAAGACGCAAAATGTCCTGAATTTTAGATACCTGCAGAATGTTTGTGCATAACCTCACGATACTGGCCTTTGTTTGGGCTGCAGACGGTGCAGTTCCTCATTTGGCACGATCGGCGTGTGACCCCCGGCAATATTCTCACAGCGAAAAAATCAGCCGGTCGCTTTTCGTTAGAAAATGGGCCTATTTCCTAACTCACCAGCTAGAATCCTTGAAAAATGTTTCGGGCTGTGCGCATTAAGCTCTAGGAATTTACCATTTTCCTCCACATAAGAAGCCCAGATCATTGTTGGGCGAAGAAAATAGCCCCCCCCATTCCAAATACCGCCCCCCCCCGGTGTTTCCCTCAGGGGTTGGGTTTTCGTCGCTTGGCAGCGATGTTTTAAAACACACCGATCACTTCGTGAGCTCGGCAACCAAGTTGCCGCTTTTGTTTTTGCCTTTTTTTTTTTTCGTTTTTTTGCGGTAACCATGAATGGTGGTCGAGTAGATTATGTTGTGCGGGGTCGAGAACCCTCACTCCGCGCAAAGGGGATGATCGCACGTTGTGTTGACTTGGTCAAACACCCTCGAGGCAGTAATACAGAGCTTACAATTGTCTCTGGAAGTGAAAGCACCAGAAAATAAATTAAGTCATACGAAGCTGTCATCCATACGCAAGGAAGTAAGCACAAGATGCCGGACACCCATAGCAGGATGCAGCGCACCCTTCATGCGACTCGCCGAATACCTCACGGCGCTTCGCGCTTGGTGATGTCAGAGCCTGGTCCGGTGAGAACCCGGCGTGCTCCGTCCCGGCTTTGTAGGGATGCGAGGTCAATGGTCTGAAGACTACGGCATGCACGACTATGAGTACACGCCCCCCTACCCAACACCGCCGGCTGTTTACAGCCATATTGTGGTGTTATGGGTACCGCCGAAAATCGAAAAACTGCTTAAAGTACCGCCGAAGGAGTACCACCGTATTGCATTGCCGCGCCCCGCTTGAGCCCACTCCAAACGACGGTACCGAGACAACCCTGTTATTTTCGCTTTACCGCCGAATACGCTAATACCACCTACCTCCAATAGATTCCTTCTAGATGGCGCCACCACCGAAAACATACTGCCATATTTACGCTTTATCGCCTCCGCGAAACAAACTCGTTACCGCCGAAAACTGCAATTCGGCTTACCAGCAGAACAATTGCCGCCACAGACTATGACAATACCGCCTACAAATTGCCGCCAAAAAGGCTAAAGTAGCACAGTATTACCGCCGACGTGAAATGACCGATGGGCTGAGTGGGTCGAGGCCTCGTCTCGTTGACTGCACGAGCAAAGTGGTTCGAACCCATGGACACTTCTACGTTTATCCCTCGAATTTCGACTGTAATTCGTGAGAATCATCGGTGATCAAAAACACAAAAACACCCCTTCGAAGTGTACAAGGTTAAGCGTCGCAGAAGATGCTCGCCTTTCGTTCGGGCGCCGTAGCTTGGCACCGAAAAAAAGCGCCGCTTTGTCTGGTGTCGCTTGAAATACCTCCCTGTTGGACGGTACCGGTAAATGTTTTGCCGCCTTTTTTTTCCGCTGTCGCAAAAGTCTTTGCCGCCGAACAACGCGAATACCGCCTACCACAAACAATTACCGTCGTTTGCCGCCGTTACGGGGGTTTTACCAGCTTTTTCTGGTTATACCGCCTGCACAATACTGCCTACCGTCTCAGCAAATACCGCCTTATGGCATTACCGCGAAAATGTGTCCGCCAAAAAACACGTCACCAAAACCCCGAGGAAACCGTTTGCAGGTTTCTGCCTGGACATTTACCCCTACCTGGGGCTTGTTTTCCGCCGTCGGATGGGTTAGACCTGGTCGCTGATCTGGAGGCAAACTCATTTTGTTTTCGTTCTACATCTCGTAAGTACGCAAGTACTTGAAGAGCTCGCTCTCTCGTATGGGGCTACTCGCGTTTTGTCGCCCTCACACCCTAATATTTGGGTGTTGGAGGAATGTTTGCCTAAATAGTGGCAAGCCCGGCAGATAGTTCCCCGATAGAGGCGTGTGCAGATAACACATGCAACATGAGACGAGCGTAATCACCGTCCTGCATGAAGTGCGTGGACGCCTTGGTGCCCCGCTTTCTTACCACCTCCAGGGCATAGAGCGATGTTGACCTTGCCGGCGAGAGCAAAACCCGGCCATGAAACCTCCCCGGCTGCGCACGGGTGCGAGGACACGCGTTTTATGAAATATTGATGTGGTGGTACTTTTAGTTTGCCCTGCTTCTGCTTCTATCTTAGCTTCCGAGAGGAAACATCCGTTGTTGTTATCTCGTTGCTTTACCCTGATTTTGCTCTTCTAGACTTTTGTTCTCCAGTAACCGCTACGCCTTCGTGAAATACCTGATTTTGGTTTCGCTTCTTTCATCCATAAGCTTCCTCTATTTTTGACTCAACTCGTTTTGGAGACCCTGGAGAATGGGGGAGGGCACAGACGGGATAAACATGAAACCTCCTTCGAAGTGACAACAAAGACAACAACAGCAGCAATATGTCCCTGCTTTGCACTAAACAGGTGCCGACACGCATTCCGCTGCCCACCCTCTGCAGGGTACGTGTGCAAGGACCCACGGCGGGTGGGCTATTAGCAAGGAAGACCATGGTTCGAAGACGCAGCAGCATCAGCTCCGTCGCAGTTCTCCTGAGCTTGTTGCTCGGCGCTGCTGCTCAGTACGACAGCTGCGTCAACGGCACGATCGACGACATCGGTAACGGTCGCTGCGACGCGGAGAACAACAGCCCATCCTGCGGCTTCGACGGCGGAGACTGCTGTTCATGCACGTGCACCGATACTGTGCTCTACTCGTGCGCCGACAACGAATTCGACTGCCTGTACCCCCTGTGTGGTGACGACTCAGCAGCCTCGGAGGAGGAAGCTTGTGTTGAGGACTGGCAGAGCGACGGTTTCTGCGACGATGTGAACAACAACTATTCATGCGGCTACGACGGAGGAGATGTGTGTGCACGTTGTGTCAATCCGCGAAACGCTGCGGGGTGTCTGTACATAGTGACTCCTTAGCACCAACGCAGGAAGTACGGAGCACCGTTGGATATCAAAGTTTGCGGTAGGCCGGGTGCGAAGTGGGAGGTGAGTGCAGAAGAAGCGGATATTGCCCGACGCACTTCGTCCATACTCTCTGGTGCGGCCTGCCTCGTGTATCGCGGGATGCTTCTGCGACCATTTAACTCTCAGCCCTGTCGCCCCCTTCTTTCCTCGTGCCACCTTTGGAAACGTGTGATACTACACACATTCAAGTGCTGTGGGTGTTCTTGTGCTGATGGCCTAGCGTATGCTTGCGGCTACAACGACTTCACTTGTCGAGACCCGAGCTGTTTCGATCCTGTCCTTGTCGCTGAGTTGCCGGATTGCACCGGGGACTGGTTGACGATCGGTGATGGCTATTGTTCCACGGCCAACAACAACCCTCAAGTGAGTTGGCTACTCCGACTGCGCTAGATTGCGTGTTCGGGCTGTGGCAGTCTCGTCTACCCGGTCATTAATTCAATGGCGGGGCGTTGACTACCTAATGTGAGCCATAACCGCTCCCGCCGTTTACGTCCGATTCCTTCACGTTGATGGTGAGAGCTCTCTTGCGTCCCCTGTGCATATGTACGGTATTTTCAAGGAAATAGGGACACATGTCCCGAACCGATTCTCACAATGCCGTGTAGCTATGAACGAGGATCATTCCATGGATAGTTATCGGCATGCTCGAAGTGAAAACGACAACACGTCAAACTCAAAACACAAATCATATGAGCAGTTAGGCCCAAATCGCTCATTGTATTCACCTTTGTGGACGTGTCTTCGCTCACCTTTCAGTATAGACCGATGACCGTCGTTGAACATGGGATGCAGTGTACCTCATGTCTCAAGCGGACAAGCCGTAGCTACATCGAGGCAGACAGCGTGAGAAGAGAGACGTACTTTCGCTTTTGACGATGTTTCATCAACATGTCCCCATTAGTGGCCGTGTATTTGAGCAACTGAAATAATTCCGACCGTTCCGACACCTAATGGAAACCGTGAGCATCAACAAAACAAACACGGTTTCAACATGAGGAACGCTGAAGAAAACGATGAGAAACGAGGTTCGGACACGGTCCAGGAGTCGTGTTACGTCGGGTTGTGTACGAGTGGGACAGCAGGCTTTTGGCATCAACACCGTTTCCGGCCGTCGCGATGCTTTGAGCTTTTGCTCTTTCGCCTAGCCTGCAGCGCCCCAGCCCTCCCTCCCCCTCCCTCTCTCTCTCTCTCTCTCTCTCTCTCTCTCTCTCTCTCTCTCTCTACCCCCTCAGTGTGGCTACGATGGGGGCGACTGCTGTTTTTGCAGCTGCAGCGGCGTAGCGTGTACATCCAACGTTTTCGATTGCTTAGACCCCGGGGCGGAACAAGAGTTGTACGAGTGCAACGCCCCACCACCCGCCGTCCTGCCTTGCTCAGAGGAAGTTCAGCAGACGTGGGTGGTAGAAACCTCGGAACACGCACAGGCTCTGACAGCAGCTGTGAATTGTTCTGGCGGGCTGTTCGAGGTAGAGTGGAAGGGGAGCGTGGTCGTCAACGATTCAATCTTCGTCGTCGACGGCACTGTTCTTACGGTAGCGGGAGCTGACTCGAATGCCGTCATCGATGGAAACGCGGGGACACGACTCTTCACCGTCGTGAACGCTGCTCTGCACGTGAGCGGGGTAAACATCAGCTCGGGTGCCAGCGTTGCGGGTGGGGCCATAGCTGCCGCGGGATCCACCTTGACGTTTGATCGGACGAATTTTGTTGGAAATGGTGCCACAGCCCTCGGGGGAGCAGTGTTTATGTCCGATGGCTCAAACACGTCATGTGTCGGGGCTGGTACCTTTGCCGATAATTCGGCCGGCATTGAAGGTGGTGCAGTGCACGCGAGTGGGGGGTCGACGATTTCGTGCGGCGCTTCATGGCTAAACAACGTGGCTGGTGATATCGGAGGCGCCATAAGGGTTCTTGGAGGGTCCACCTTTTCATGGGACGAAGAGTCGTTCTTCGCCTACAATACTGCCGGAAGAGCAGGAGGCGCGTTGAGTGTTAACGGGTCGAGCTTGTCGTGGAATGCTGCAACGGGATTCGATTCCAACACCGCCGGGCTGGTGGGTGGCGCTCTCCACGTGGGTGGTGGCTCGAGCGTCTCCTGGAGCGAGGCCACGACGTTTGTTCGCAATTTCGCTGAGGTAAACGGCGGTGCTCTAGCGATGGGTAGCAGTTCGAAGACTTCCTGGAGCGGTGTCACCACGTACCTGGGGAATGAAGCTGGGAATGCTGGGGGCGCCATTTATGTCGAAGACCGCTCGAACGTTTCGTGGAGCGGGGAGACCGAGAGCGTGTTCGACGAGAACCTTGCAGGGGTTTTCGGGGGAGCGGCTTATGTGACCACGAGCTCTGAACTTTCTTGTGGCGAGCAAACGTCTAGCAGCTTTTTCCGCAACTCGGCCACCAAATACGGGGGGGCGCTTCAAGTGGATCACGGCTCCAGCTTAGCACTTAGCGGGAACACTTCTTTCCACGGAAACAGCGCTCTTGGTTACCCCGTAAATGAGGATGGGACGGGTCATGGTGGTGCCATAGGCGCCACGTACTCTGCCACCGTCACGTGGAGTGAGACCACGTCTTTCACAAACAATACGGCAGTTTTGGGGGCTGGCCTGTACGCGGGCAACTCTAGTGTACTTTTCCTGGGTCATACTATCGCGGCCCACAACACAGCAACCTTTGGAGGCGGTGCGTTCTTTTTCTCAAACAGCAGTGCTGTATGGGACGGGCAAACGGATATGTACAACAACTCGGCCGAAAGTGCTGGCGGTGCTGTGACTATCGCGTCCTCGGACCTGGTCATTAACGGCCCAACAGCCCTGGCCAACAATCGCGTCGGGGACAGCGAGAGCGGTTTCGGTGGTGCCATGTATATGCTTATGGGCTCGAGTCTATTTGCGAGCGGTGCCACAACGTGGATCAATAATTCAGCAGGGGGTCAAGGCGGAGCGATCATGATGGATGGCTCGACAGCGTGGTGGACCGGCCCAACACTTTTCAGCGGAAATAGTGCACATTCTGCCAGTTCCAACGGGGGCGCTGTACATGTCGGCGGATTGTCGAGCGTGTCCTGGAGTGGAGCGACGACCTTCACGGATAACCGCTCCGGTCGCAACGGAGGTGCACTGTTTTTGCTTTACGGAGAAGCTTCGTGGACCGTTGTCACGAAGTTCGTTCGCAATACCGCAGATAGCCTAGGAGGTGCCTTGTACGTGAGTTTATCCCGAATGTCTTGGAGTGCGGCCACCGAGTTCGATGGAAATTCTGCTCTGTCCGGAGGCTCAATTTTCATGTGGAACTCCTCCCATGTGGAGTGGACTGGGGACACCGAGTTCATATCGAACGAAGCAAGCCTCGACGGGGGGGTGATTGGATCCTTTTCAACGGACTCCGTCAGTAACCAGGGCTCAACCCTCGTGATGAATGGGACCACTGCCTTTGTCAACAACACGTGCGGAGCTAACGGGGGCGCCTTGGCTCTGCTTGGAGGATTGGCTGTAAACATCGGCACAGAAAACGTCAGCTTCATTGGAAACGCTGCCGAGGTTGCGGGAGGGGCCGTATTTGTGTCGGGCACAGGGTTCGGCCCGATTTTCACTGGCGCTAGGTTCATCTCCAACTCCGCTCAGGTCGGGGGTGCTGTCTCCACCGTAGGGTCTGGGAACTTGAAGGAAAATGCAGACATTTCACCCCCAAACCCGACAACATTCGACCATTGCCACTTCATCGACAACCGAGCAACAGCAACGGGTGGAGCTATTGACAGCGCGGCTGGACAAGACGCCTTCGTCAACAGCACGTTTCAGGGCAACCGCGCGGGGACGGGGGGGGGCTTGAGGCTGGCAGGCACGGCCTCTCTGGACACCTGCTCGTTTGTTGACAACATTTCGGACGATCAAGGGGGCGCGGCGGTGTCCAACATCGGTTCTTTGTTGAGTGTGGAGAACATCACTTTCAGCGGTAATGTCTTCGACTGCGATCCCGGCATGTATCTGGACTACAACGCGGTACGAACTTGTGTTTCGTCTTTGTTGTGTGTTTTTCAGCGAGTCCGGTTTGCTGCTCTTGATGGGCTTTGAACCGAACCGGAGTGTTGACGTCCGTTATATCGCATGGCATGTACGGTTGTGGACAGCACTGGATGGACCTGATGTTTTCTTCAAACCCAGTTGCCCAGTAGTATCATCATTGTTTTCGACCAGCCATTGAGTAGTCAACTTCTGGGGTATGCAGCTTCGCAAGCCCCGTTGTTCAACCTCAGAATGATCTGTGTGCTTCTTCCACTGTGATTAGGCGGTATCAATTCTAACTCGACAGGTCCACCTCCTGGTGTTTCTGGTGTTCCTTCTCCGTGATGCAGTCGGGTAACCCCTACGAGGCCGCTTGCGGTGGCTGCGAGACTGCGTGCGACGGATGCTTCTTCGAACCGCCTGTGCCTCCGACATGCACGGACGTAATGGAGCATATCACAAGCGCTGGTGGCACCGTCACCCTTGAAGACCTTCCAGTCGAGCGTGGGTACTGGCGAGCCAGCCCGTCGAGCGAGGAAGTCTTTGCGTGCTACAATTCCGACGCCTGTCTAGGCGGAGTAACGGGAAGAGCTGGCTATTGCCTCAAGGGCTACGAGGGACCATGTGGGTGGCATCCGTATTGTGCAGTATAATGACGCTGTTTGCTGCTCAAGCTGGCAATTGGAACCATTCATTCCAACAGGCTCATGTCGAGGACTTGCGCACGTTCCTAGCATGCGAGGTTCTGTACTCCTCGTCACGTTGTAGTAATCATGTTCGGCAGGTTCGGGGGTGTTGTCAACGTCCGATTGCGGGACTATTGCTGATGGCGTAAAGATGTCACTGTTGCTTGTACATATCGGCATCGGCAAGGCCGACGGCCATGTAACTGTGTTTTTCATCACTCTGGTGTGCCCATGTTTAACGCGATCACAGCAAATTCCCCGGTACGCTGCAGCTCCCGGAGGGTTACTCAGGTGTAAGCACCCACCAACACAAGTTTCTTCTTGTTTCACTGACATGAGGCCCCGGTTCCATCATTGTTTGTTTAAAACTGAACGAAATGAAAGCCCTTCGTTCTACATAGCAAAAGCGGCTTGCCGTTTTATCAGTCGGCAAATTTGCGGGATGTATTCCTATCCCAGGCAATCCGCCCCAAATACGAGAACACGGTACAGCCAAAAATGAATCCTGTCCGCGACATTTCCAGCAGTCTCAACCGTGAAGAGAAGGTTGTATGTAGGTGGAAACAATGCATCCAAACAGATTAAGTCTGTCTCAATCCCCGAATAATTATGGCCTTGCAGTGGTCCCGGCTGATATGATAGCGCAGATCCTTGAAGAAATCAGAATGTTCGGTGGGTACAGTGGCCGCCCCATGTCCGAATCGCTAACATCCGTTGATGCCCGAACACAACTCTATAGTATACGTCGATCTCAACACTCCTTGCTTGTCGCCCGCTTGACCGTTTCGGTCAGATTGTGCTGTGTGCAGCGACGGCTACACGACAGAACTGGCCTTCGCCTGCACCAGGTGCTCCGGTGGCGCTGGCCGTATCGCCCTGGCGGCCGTGCTCGCGGTGGTGGTCTTATGCGTTGCCTTTGCCGTTGCTTCGTACGCGATGTCGGGCAGGGTTGGCGACGTGAGATCAGGGGTGGTTGCCCGCCTTGGGCAGTATATTCCGCTTCAATCTGTGAAGATTGTCATCGTGGCGTGGCAGATCTTGACTCAGGTGAGGACGAGCATACAGGTAGTGCACAGATAGGTCCACAAGAACATACTTACGGGATTGCGGAGGTTGACGCTAAATTGAGGCTGTGTCGCCTGCTGGTCCGGCTCTTGTCTATTCCTCTATGTAGTACACCAAGAACCAACATGTCGCCAAGCGCAACGTGGAAAGGCCAACAACCCGCCTTGTGCTCAACGCACATCAAGACGTCGATTGGTGTCATGCTTTTGTGAGCTGGTGTCGATTCAAGCACCTACATTTTGCTACTATGATATGCCTGCTCGCAGTTCACGTCCGTGGCGAATGTCACCTACCCGGACGTGTACAAGCGCTTCCTGGACGGCCTGGATGTGTTCAACTTCGACCTGAGCTGGGTGCTATCTGCCGGCTGCATCTTCGACATTGATTTCCACGACCGGCTCCTGGCCTCGACCGTCAGCCCTGTCATTGGTTTGCTGTTTCTGGCTGGCACATACGCCGCTGCCGTGAGCATGAACCGCGGGAAGGCCGAGAGTCTGCAGGTCATATGGAACAAGCACGTGTCGCTGGTGCTTCTGCTGACCTTCTTGATATACTCGAGCGTCAGCGCCACCCTTTTCAAGGCTTTCGTGTGCGAGGAACTCGAGGACGGCACGAACTACTTGAGGGCAGACTACACCATCGACTGCGACTCCTCCAAGCACAAAGCCTTCCAGGTGTACGCGGGATTCATGGTTGTGGTATACGTGGTGGGCATCCCTGCGCTCTACGCGTTTCTGTTATTCAGGGACCGTCACGTGTTGAAGGATCACCATGCCGATCGAGAACAAACCGCTCGCACGACGTCCACCTCGGATCTGTGGAAGCCGTACAAGCCGTCCGTGTTCTACTACGAGGTGATCGAGTGCGGACGTCGGGTTCTGCTTGCCGGGGTGGTTGTGTTCATCTTTCCCAACACAGCGGCCCAGATCGCGATAACGCTCATGATGGCCTTCGCGTTTGTGATGGTGTCGGAAGGTTTAGCCCCTTTCGCGTCCAAGTGGGACGCATGGCTTAATCGAACCGGTCATACAGTGGTGTTCGTGAGCATGTACATCGCTCTCCTGCTCAAGGTGGACGTGTCGGGGGAGCGGGCGGGCAGTCAGAGGGTGTATGAGATTGTCCTCGTCGCAGCGCACGCGTGCATGATCCTGGCGGTGATGACCGAGACGTTCGTGTTGACGTGGTCGTTGAAGGTAGAGCAGCGGCAAGAACCGACGACCAGGTTCCGGCATGGGAAGCTGTTTCGCTCGGGGAGAGGCTTGGAGTCCGCGCAGGACGACCCATTTTCTGCCGATTTGCGCCGGGTAGAAGTGTCGCCCGGTCGCTAGCCACCAGAATGGACCCTAACACAGGTTGTGAGGGAGGTTATCCTCTTCTTATTCGTCCATCATCGTTGACAACTCAAGAATGTGCCTTCTTCCTCACGGTTGGTGGTAAGCCATCGCGCAATCTTCCATCGAGTCGACGGCCCAAGTACACTTGCAAGTAGTTGTCTTTTTTTTTGTAGCAGTTATTCAAGGGGAACCAACCGCGAATAGCTTTGGGGGGAGGTCGGTGCTAACCTCAGGGACGTACGATTCTTCGTTGTATGGTCGTTTTTTGAAAGTTGCCCTTCGAAGCTCATGAGAGATGTGGTATAGATATTTTGCACCAAGTGCCGCGGTCGAGGGGGCTTCCGTCTGCCGTGGCGCAAGTTCTTGGATGTCATGTTTTGATCGCATACATAGTTCTGTGTAAGGGCAAAGTTATGCATGTAGTGTCGGCAGATGTCTACCCGCGAGTCTGCTGTAGGCATGGTGAGTGCAAGTGAGTGGGGAAAATTGATACAGTAGGTGGCCCGGCATAATGTCGGTCGAAGAATGCCGGTTGCTCGCTATAATGCCGGTGATATCGGCTGGTAATGCCGGTTTGGGGGGTTCGTGGCCCCTTAAAAATCCGGTTCTCAAGATTGCTTGCACACACAGGACTGCACACACAGCACACCACCACACACACACTGAAACCTGTTGACAGGTGTGTGGGGTACGGTTGTCGTTTTTTGCTCAACACAAGCAGCCTTACCACTTTTTGTTTGGATTTCGTACGTTTTTTTTTCTTGTTCTGTGTGAGCGAGTATTCGTCAGTTATGCGGCACGTGCATGGGTGTGTTCAATTGTTATACTTCCGTACTGTTCGTTGCTTTGCTTTCGTTCTCGATATTAGGCGCATGATGTCATTTATGTGTATTTTTGCGGGTGACGGGGAAGCACCAGAGGTGAATACTATACGTCAAGAAAGAGTTCTTGCACAGACACTGTGCTCTGCAGGGGATAGACCGAACGATGATTGGAAGGATGAGCTACCATGCGGCCCTTCGATGCGCGCGCCAATATAATCTGCTCGATCGCGGAATGCTTACCAAACCTCCTGTCACATTATCCACTGTCATTTTTCCCTATCACCTGGTGCTTGTGGTGTGCGCTATGCTTTTTTTTCGTGTTGAATAGCTCGACGGTTTCCGACGTAGTGCCGGTACCGGCATTATTAGATAGAGCGGAATTCTCAGCCGCTCAGTAGTGCCGGAACCGGATTTATAGAGGCCGGTTCTATACAGTGCCGGTCGCTATTATGCCGGTGAAGTCGGCTGTCAACCACCGACATTATTCCGGGTCACCTACGGTACTGTACTCAACGACAGTCCGCCGAGGAAGGGCGCGCATGACGCGAAAGCATCCACGGCTACACCAACAACGTGTATTTCGAAGTTAGTTGTCGTCGGTGTACAGCAGTATTACTCTGTAGTATGTTGGAGAGTTGTCCTGCAATGAATGAGCTTGCCTCTCGACGATTGCTCTGTCGCCGAATCAGTAGATCGTATCATCATCTTCATGCAATAGTAAGCAGCACCAGCCTATGAGAGCAGGGCAACCTCAAAATCTGGTAATCTACGAAACTCAAGTGTTTGAGTTCGAGTTATGGTGCCACACACACACGATAATAGTTTTTTTTAGCTGTTGGTTGCCTCAAAGATGACAGCTGCCGTGGGCCACGTGCGCCCAAGGCCATGCAGGGATTCTTTCTCTAACCTGTAGAGCTACCTTAAGAAGTACTTGTTTACACTGCAGTCACTGTTCTCACCTTTCATACAATTTATTACCGTTCATTTTCGTCTCGAGGACCTTTTTCTTTATCGTGCTGCATGGAGTATTCGAGCGTTGAAAATCGGCCATGGCGCGTGACATTTATGTCGCCTACGAGCCCGCTCTACTACCGTAGTACGCAGGTTAGCCTGTCCCACCACTGTCTGTAATCCGATGCAACACGCAACAACCCGAAGTCAACATCAAACGCCGCTTTACAGCAGGACAGTGCAATATCATTGGTCAACCTGAACAGTGCTACGGCTTGTTGATCACCCTCCTGGGTTTTTTTGTTTTTCTCCGAGCTCTCGCAACTCGCAAGCCTTGCCAAGACCCCCCGGCTTATTCAGACCCTATGCTGGCCCAGCCGTGCGGTGCTTGCTGTCTCTGGTTCCTTCCCTGTCGTTCCCATGGATGCTTCTGATGTTGAGTTCGTTCCTGTTCATGATAGCCCTGGTACAACAACGTTGGCATCACCTTCAGCACCGGTATATCGTCACCAAGACGTACAAGGGATAACCAACGTCTCTGGAACAGCCACTCTCGCGGCAGCAAACGGTGACGATGACAATAGCCCCGATGGCCCCGCAGCACCCCCAGGTGGTGCTGCTGATGATACTCGGTACCCTTCTTTCGAGCCCTTTAGACCGAAAAGCTTCGACAGCCAGCTCGGGCACGGTTTAGGGGGACTGCTGTTGGGATCTCGATCAGCATCGAAGAAGGGCAGTCAGAGCTTCGCGGTGAGCACCAAGAGCACTATGGTCAGTAGCTTGGGAGTTCTGGCAAAAGCTGTAAAGGCCAGTGCGACCGCGGTGGATGATGGGTACGTTGCCATGTCGACACCCTGCGAATCACCAGTGAACAAGGTGAGCTGAGCGCGACCACACCACAACCCCATGTTGAGTTGAAACAGCAGTGTTGTGCCAGTGTAGACGAGACTGAAAGCAAGTTCACGTGCAGCGTATACATATGATACATGTTCCGCAAGCTTCTCGGGGCGCAAGCAGACCTCCCTCACGTTCCGCGCTGGAAATACCGCCCCAAGAATGGTATTTTGTTCGCCCAACTCGGTAGAGCTATGCATACATCGCTTCATAGTTGACCCTCGTACATGTCGACTTCGACCACAGGCGCACATGATGAGATTGGGCCGCAGACACCAGACTACCGACAGCAGACAGCGGATTGACAGGCAGTTGGGCCCCTTCTGTTCTTGTTGCCTGAAAGCTTTATCTGGAACTCACCCCGCCTGCACGGCCATGTGATAGTCATCTGTTGTGCGGCGACTCCTGAGTTGTCGTGAAGAAAAAGTTTACACTATTGCACGATCGACGAAGGACGTCGATGTTACATAGCAAGACCATTTGCTCGAACCGTGAGGGATTTTATTTCAGAGTGAGCGGCCACAGGAAACCGACCTCAATGGCCCCAGGATAAAACCGAAGCACCGAAAATAACGGGAAACGAGTTTGCCGTCCAATGGTGCTTTTGTATGAGTAGGGTGAACTTTCTCACACTTCCAATCCCTGTAAACACGCATGTCCGTGACTCCGGGCGGTTGTAGTGTCTTGACTTTTTGGAAATCGTTTTCAGTAACCGCACACCAGGCTTTGCCATAAAGATGCAAACGTTCGAGTGGGGGCCTGTTGCACGGGTACGAGGAGCTACGGGACACTCCCCGATGTGGTCGCTGGCGTGTACATGCCACCCCCTTTCCGGATATGTTTCTAAAGAAAACGTCGGAAAAACTCGAACCGATAATATTCTTGAGCAATACTGACCCGTCGTGAAATATTACCGGTTTTCGAAGCAGGTGTTTGATTGTCGAACCCGGGGCCCACCCAAAATACACCCCGTAGCCCCCTCCCGCGATGCACAGTTGATAACTACAGGAAAAATTACTTGAGCATATCATGTCGAGAGCCTTGTACAGCGGCTGTTGTCAGGTGTGGGCTCGATAGTCAGGATGTGTGGCCACGTGGCCACCCCCGACACCATCGTCCAGAGAGCAAACGGTTTGTCGCATTTTGGCAAAAGTGCGAAAATCGAACAAGAACCGCCGACAGCCCCACCGGCAGCAGACATGAGGCACGCATTCCACTTTGCCGGCGTGATAACCTGATATATATGTATGCATATGTAATGCTATTTTGCTTTCAGCTTTCTTGGGTCGTGGTGATATGCCTTTTGCTACACAAAGTGTCAGTCGCGCAGCTGTTTTAACCAACTCGCGCGCGTGTAAAAAACCTCACTACCCGTCGAAGCGACTTCTGGGCGGTGTGTAGAGTACGGATCGATAATTCCAATCAACTTATGTCAGGTTGCGAGGGACAACCTCCTGCGATCTTGTTCTCCACCAGTTCTCGGGATCTTCCGCTCTCTACGCGCGTCGCCGAGATGCAGCCGGTGATGCTTAAAGCATTTTTCCCGCGATCGTCATCGTAGAATCCCCCCAAGTGCGCAATCAGCTGCTGGCGTACGAGTTAGCGCCAAGAAACAACCGTCTCTTACCTTAGCTCTTCATCACCCTCTTTGCATTCTCGTTCGGCAGGTGAGCTGCGGACCACACACCGCCACACAAGCTCCGAACACGCCAAGCTTTTTACGCACCCGCAGCAGTAAATCCGCATTGCTTGTTCTTGCTTGTGACAAACGCAATGATTTCTAGCTCTAACTAACCGCCCTTTCCTACTCCCGCTGCCGGGGTTGCTGGAAACGCGCTGTACCGTTGAAAAAAAAATCGGAATTAGGCTACAGGTAGCTGCGGAGGACCCGCATTTCCGTCGTCGTCAGGAGCAGCTCCGTTCAAACCTTCCGCTTCCTCCCGAGCGGGGCTAGCTGCAAGACTGGGCTCTGCTCTGCAGTCCTGGGCCTCGTCGTCTGCTGATGCCACCCCCCCGCGAGAGGGTAGACCGGGCCCGCTCGGAGCAAGGTACACTCAGCAGCAGCGGCGGTCAAACTCCCGGGAGCAGAGGGTGCCACGGGCTCAAGACCGTAGCTCTCCGATGCCAACAACCCCGCCCTCATACCAGCAGCTTCCGAGCGGCCCACAGCCGGCAAACCCGCCCGCTAGCCGTCAAGGCCGCGGGGATACGGACGAGGGGAAGGTGGCACAGGTGAGCGAATGCCTTGGGGACGGAGTGGTCTCAGCCGATGAGGCCGCTACAGCAGTAGCAGCACCATCGGGCAGTCACGCCGAGGCTTTGTTGTCCGAACTTGGGGACGGCGCACCGGAAAAGGGTGCTGAGCGTGCCGCCGCTGGCGGAACGTCAGCAGAGACCCAACCTGCCGAGGGCGGAGCGAGGGAGGAAACTTTGATTGAAGAAAAGGAAAAGGACGTGCAGGAAAGAGGGCGTGAGCAGGAGGAGGCTGAGGCTGAGGAAGAGGTCTCAGGTGAGGATGGTTTGGGGGTCGCGCAAAAGCAGGAAAATGACGAAGTGCAAGGCGCAGACCTGAGTTCATTCGAGGAACAACCAACAGAAGCAACAGATGGAGACAGTACAGCCATAGCGGTGGCAGGAGTGGCACCTCAAGCTCCTGTTTCTGGCTCAACCACCGCCGATGCCACGGGAAAGAGGCAGCAGCTTCAGGAACAAGTGGACGGGGGTGCAGAAGCCGGCGCAGGCTCGACAAGAGCAACGGCGACGACACCCGAACGCATCCCGTGCTCTCCGGCAGCATCAGCGACGTCAAACAGCGCACCAGGAGAGCAGAGCACCCATACTGCCGAGAGGTGGGGGGGAAGAAATCGCGAGACCTCAGGCGAAATGAAAACCGAAGATCGAGGCAAGGACAGAGAGACGAAGACGAAGAAGGTCGGGCTGTGGGAGCTCAAGGCTGAAAGGAGCCGGCTGGAGCACGCGCTCGTCGAGGCGGAGGCCGACCGCGACGTGGAGAGGGCGAGAGCGACGGAAGCGGCGGACCGCGTCGAAGAAGCAATAGCGCGGCTGGAAAGCTTGCGCCGGCGGTGTGGCGTTGAAGGAGCGGTTGGTACTGATGATGCAGCGGCGGCGGCTGGCCTTGTCGGGTAGAGGATATCAGGTGTGCAGCGGATTGCGTTTGAGGTTAACCGCTGCGAACGCTGGCTGTTGCCGTATGTCATACCATAGTATGCCGCAGTTGATTGGTGCCCTTGCCCGTGCAAACCGAGACGTTGAACATGCGGAGGATCGAAGATGAGTGTAACCTAGTATTGTTGTAGGTGGTGGTGATGATTGGGCAGCGCCGTTGCGTATGGTGTCTTCGGCAGTGACTGGTGTCGACAGGTCGAAGCCGTGCCGGATACGATGGTGTAACATATGCGGTTGTTGATAGCGCTGCTCACGGAGGGCAAAGTCGTCGCCGCATTTAGAGTGTAGCGTCGCTATGAGAGTCGAGTGTGGTCGTATCAAGCAATGATGTAACCCTCTTGTGTAAACAGTAGTGGGACACGTGCTACGGGTTATCACCCGCGAGCATATTGGGAAGTTCGTCCACACTCGTATGTTGGGCGAAAAAAGGCGTTGGCCACGCGTTGTGTGCAGTTAGGTTTCAGTGCAATCACTTGGATCACTTGTGTACCTTTTTTTTTATATGTTCCATGCCTCGCTGCACGTGAATGCGGGAGTAGACGGCAACGAACGGCTGGTGCAAACCACCAAATGAAAGCTTGCGCGCGGTACTGGCTGCTGGTGTTTGTGAGGTAATAGCAAATCAGATCGATGACTTCATCTTACAGCTCCGTCTCGTTAAGTAGTACTATACCTTACGAAATATTCCAAGGCATACACTTGTGAATTCTTTTCGTACACTTGCGCAAATCGTGTTTTGGTTGTATGTCCATTCGAGTGTCGTTTTTTTGTGCGCACTTCCTGTGCGTTCGTCACCTGTGACCGGTGTGTCGAATGTCGCACTTGCTTGTCCTTGCAAAGCGCAGGCAGGCCCAATGTGTTTTCCCAAACCCGGTAACACCATACGCCGGATACAGCTGAACGAACGAACGCTTTCAAGTGATGTGCAGCGCCACAGCATCGACACACAACAACAACGGCACCCCGATGGTACATGACGGACCGCGTTTTATGGTGACTGCGGTGGATGTGTTTCACGATGCTGCTGCCCCAGAGCCACTGGAGGTAGCTGCGCTCCAAAGGGCGAAGCGTGTTTCCTGGAGTTGAGAGCAGAAAACGAGACATTACGCACGTGATCACCCATCATCGATCTATCACCTCTGATCCCTCCGCGGAAATTCAGCTCAATCATCCGCTCCGTTCTTGCTTTTTTCATGGGGCAGATATCACTCCGACGCATCGGTGGGTTTTCTAGGACCCCTGTTGTTCGGTGGTATCCCGCACGCACACGTCCCCTCTCGTGCCGTTGCGTCCTTTTCACAGTTTACCGTTTCCAGCGGGATATCATAATTCATTTGCTGCCGAGCTCAGTCACTTGAAGTCCGTGATGCCCTTGAGGGAGGGACGAAACCGATGCCCCCCATCTCGTGTTTAACAATGGGGCGTGCACCGCCGGGCAGTTGCACACCACAAGCCTTCATGACGCCAAGATCGATCGGTATAGGAAAGTAAACAAAACAATATGAAGCAACAGAGCGCAAGTAACCCTCTCGTATATTGAAACTCGTGCTTAAAAGCCGCCCTCTTGTACAAACATCAGTTCCCTTTTGATGACAAAACGTTCCTTATGCTCGTCCTCTGCTCAGAATACGCATATCGCGCCTGAACTTCAACTAACAACCCACCCTTGGACTCTCGCCCCTCGAACGACTGTCGGCTTATATATAATACAACGCACAACAATCGACCCTCGAACGGCCGCTCCACCTAGCCACAAATGTACCCCGGAACCGCTTGTTATACGCACGAGAACGAGCGCAACGAGTGTCTGTCCCAATCGCGGGAACCAGACTGAAACCTAACCTAGAGAGCATCGCTCCAGCGACATGCTTTCGACAACCGACCGAAACCAAGACCAACACCAACACAGCGAGGGCTGCGGGCGAACAAGCGCCCTTACTGTACATGAATCGAAAATCGAAACAATCGTGACACGATTTCGTCTTTTGGGACGCATATCGTGCAGATACTCGAAATGCATCTATCAAACTGTTACGCGTCGACTTTCTACCTAGGCCCTGAAAAATCGAACGATTTTGTCGCAACTCGACAAGACGGGTTCGAAGAGTTATTTTCATCGCAATAACCCCCATTATGAACCAATCCTCTTCCTCCACTCCCTCTCTCTCACACCAATCCGCCGCTCTGTTCTCCAATCAAGACCAACTACCACCAAAAAAACTAACGACCACTATCAAAACGTTTATTTTTACCACGGCACCACGGATACGAAACAAGATAAAAAGTCAACGTGCATGACACCGAGACGGAAAACGTTGGCGTGAAACACATGGGGGACACTTGTTCGGAGCGAAGCAATCTCACATACGTTCACACAACCGTTCCATGAAATCCGGCTTTTGAAACAAATGTGCAGTTCATTGCCGAAGTTGTTAGAGACCGTGACCTAACACCCCAGCTAATCGGTCATCATTGCTGCTCACAGGACAGCGTAAATCGGCAGATCAAACAATCATCACCGCTGTTCCCAGGACTCGCGACTGCAGAGCTAGCTCTAGCCGCTCGATGAGTGGTGGTGTGCACTGCATAGCCCGACTATCAACCAAATTACAACCACAAGATTACGAATCGGGTCGCCACACTAGGCATTATTGTCCCGGGCTATTTTCCACAACCAGGCAACACTCGGGCAAAAAAAAATGTGTTTCCTTCTGCGTTCAACTACTCCGCGCACGCTTTAGGGCCGCATGAAAGAAGCGCAGAATAAGCAAAAGATGCAAGACCTGCTTAGCACATCCCTTCTGCCCACAACTAGAAACCTCTTCTTCCCCGTACGCAAGCTCATCAGAAATCAAGACCTACCGTAGGTAAAAAAACACGGTTATATTTTGCCATGTCTTGCCACAAATCGTGCTGAATACAATGTTGCGTCTCTATGCAGGTCACTTGCAATACTCTGGGCAGGCAATCACTTCACCTACCCACGCGCCCTATATTTCAACGTCGCCGTTGTCCATCTGTACCGTTGTCCACCCCATAGCTGGAGGAACGTTCGGTAAATCTACATCGTGCCTGTACTACCAGCGAAACACGCACGCAAGACACAACAAGTCTCGGGCAGCACACCCAACATAAAATACGAAAGAAAGTAAAATTAAGATAGAAGTATGTACCAAGAGAGATAGCGGGAGCGCACGCGGAACATGCTGTCATGATACCGGCGGGTCCAAGTCGCACGCACAGCTGCAACACCAAAACCCGATTGCAAAAACAGCCAGCCCCACACATTGGGCACAATTTTGCTTGCAAGTATTGTACAAAAAAGGAAAACGCACTCAAGAGTCGCGCAACAGACTTCCCCGAGGGAAAACAAAGGCAAAGCACAAACACAGTTTTCTCACACAAAGAGAGTAAACAAACCTCCGTCTGGTGTCCGCACCGAAGTGCGCGCGTAAACCGTTCTGGGGTGCGAAAACAGGGGGGGGGGGGGGATACACCGTAAATCCGTGCAGAAAACGGTAAGTTTATTTCCGAAAAAGGCGAATTCGAACGTTTACGGCAGGACCAGATTATCACGCATTCGGAGGGGGTGCTCTTTGGAGAAGGGGGTGTACTCATAGCCGTGCATGCCGCAATCGTTAGACCATTGACATCGCATGGCAACAACAAAGCCGAGACGGAGCACGCCGGGTTTTCACCGGCCAGGGTAGGGGGGTGCTCTTTTGACTAGACAGGACAAGAGGTCTGTCACCACGGCCGTCTCCCGACCAATCGAAAGAGCGGTGCTCCCACCTCCGTCAGCACGTCCAACGGATCAAAAGAAGAGCGTCTTCTCCCCCTTCTTCCACTTCCCTTGGATGGTGATTCTCCCATCCTTCGCGTACAAGACGCCCTGCAAACCACAGCGAAAAGGTTGTTGATCATCGAGACTATTTACGCGGTATACGGGCATTTGTACGTATACAGTATGGTTTGTTCGATGAGGTGTGAGACCTACCTGCTCTCGCCAGCACCACACGTGATTGAGACACATGCGATGAACTTTGAGTATCGCCATGTCCTTCAATTGTCTACACCAGCCCTCGAGTCAGAGGGGCACAGCAGTCACCCCATAAGCGCGTGCAAGGAATTCTCCCGTGCCCCCCCCCTTCCCTACTTCTACTTGCCCAAGCAAAACCGGTATTAGTCCATGTTCAACGACACCAACGCGGCCACGACGACAAACAGCACACAAACGAGCGTAACCGCCGTCATCATCATCTCCACACCTCGAACACAATGAACTATGTATGTCGAGCTGGATGCCATGTCGACTCGGATCGCTCCGTGCGAACAAAGGCAGCAGCCTTGCTGGCCTCTACTGCTGTATTTAGGGCCATTTCAAACCTGGTTACAAAATGTTTCTCCACATCTCCTTCCAATGAATTTGGGGTCATCGAAACGTTCGGAAAAATTGGAAGTTGGAGCGCTAGCGCCAATTTTTTTGAAAGTTTTCAAATTTCATGCCTTCGATATTGCAAAGTTCCCTACTTTGGAAACATTCCAAAAATTTGGGGGGGAAGCGTTCCGCATAAAACGCCCCTTCGGGGTGCACAAGAGTACGGCCGCGCGCATGACGTCACCTTTCCGTGCTGCTTCCCGTCTTGCCAGCTGCCGACATGCTTTCGCCCATCCGCCCACGTGTACGTGCCCTGCATCGGGATTTGCCAGGGGGGTGGGCCATAAAATCAACCCAAACACTAGTCAATGAACGGGTCGGCCTCTGGCCCATGTACATAGTGCGGGCCCACTGGATAACCTGGGAGTTGAGAAAATCACGCTGAACGAAGACAAATTCAAGAACTTGGCCTTGAGGAACAGGACCTCCGTCTAAAACCCTGCACTAAGACCTACATAGTCGTTGTCGGTGTACCCCAGAGAGAAAAAAGGAAAGAGAGCCTCGGGCCAAGGAAGAGGTTCTTCATGAAAGGTTTTGACGCTGTGCAAACGTACTATAATAGGTTACTCACGAATCCGTTCTTCTTGTCGTTGCCATAGTCGCCCTCGTAGATGCCTTCTGGCCCGCACCACACAGCCTGCACACGCGCGTGTCGCACAAACAAAGCACATAAAAATGATTACAACACAGGGTGACACCCCAAGGACCAGAGGTGGAAGCAGACACGCAAACACTGAAACAAACGTCATCTTCCACCCCCGCGACAAGAGCATGTGCGGGCACGAAAAGGCGGGGCCAATCCAGAGAGACGCACGAAACATCACGCACCGAATGTGTACGGCAAGCCTCGGAAGCAAGAGCACAGAAGAAGGAGACACCGCATCACCCAGAACGGAAGGTGGTGCAGCAGAGATTTACACCGGCGTTACGAGGCAAGTCCCGCGAACGGTTTAAATATCTAGCTAGCTGGGTCGCCAATAGACACAACCGATGAAGTTGACTACAACAAGGGGAAAAGGAGGAAAGATAGCGACAGAAAACGATTCGTCGTCCGAACGTCGTGCTAACGTTGGCGTGGACCAATGCATACATACAGCGTAGCTGGGTCGCCAATGGAGAGAACCGATAAATAAGGTGAAGTACAACACGGGGAAAAGGAGGGAAGTTTAAGTTTGCGACAGACAACGATTGATCTTTCGTTGGGACGTCGTACGAACGTCGGCTTGGAGTCATGCACACATTTCCCATGTTAAAAATATGCGAACCCACAGCGCGCCAGAGATTGTAGCATTCTCCCTCTGCGGGTCTCTCAAATGGAGGCATACTTGGGGAGAGGGGGGACTCATGCCGTAGTCGTTAGACCATTGACCTCGCACCCCTACAAAGCCGGGACGAAGCACGCCGGGTTTTCACCAGAGCAGGTAATCACATCACCAAGCACGAAGCGCTGTGAGGTATTCGGCAAGTCGCATGGAGGGTGCATCCTGCTCAGGGTGTTCGGAGGCGGGGGGGAGATAGATCTCACCTTTCCTTCCCGCAGACCGTAGGCCCAACCCCCTTCGTACGTAACGCCACCCGCGTACGTTCGAACTCCCTGCGCATCGATGCAGCGGGTTGGGACAAAGAGAGGGATGGGAAGGCGGGGAAAGCGTAATGTACACTGGTGAAGATGAACAAGTTGGTGAGGTGGAGTGCTGTAGACGTGTGCGGGTACGGGCAGGGAGCCGCGCGATGTGGAGTGGCGGAACAGGAGTCGTTGTGTTGGCGACGATCAAAAAAACAACAGCAGCGACGACGACGACAGCAGCTACAAGAACAGCAGCAGCAGCAGCAGCAGCAGCAGCAACGGCAACGGCACCGCAACCACCACTAACAACAACACCAAACAACCGCAGCAGCAAATATGTCACCTGGCCGTGCTTCCAGCCGTCCATCCAATCGCCGGTATAGGTTGTACCATCTCCATTCCACAATGTACCCTGCAACGGAGCATACACGTCAGAAGCGGGTGGCGGCGAGGGGGGGGGGATTCGTCATATATATGCATACCTGGCACTCTCCGTACGAAAAGGCGTGAGGCGTCGACCCTGCCGCAGCATCTACACACAGCAGCTTTCGCAGGACACACGAAGAACCCAACACCGAGAAAGAAGCGTTCGCCTAAGATCGTACGGCAAAAAAAGAAGTCGTACAGTCTTCCACGATACGTGGGCGATCAATCTCAACAACAACGAACAACGAACAACGAACAACAACAACAACAACAACAACAACAACAACAACGAACAACGAACAACAACAACAACAACAACAACAACGACCAATAAAACAAAAACTGCAGTCACCTTCCCGTGCGCCCTGTTGTTGGACCACTCGCCCTGGTGGACCTTTCCGCCTCCCCAACTGAAAGTTCCCTGCGAAAAAAAAAGAAATAGGACAACCTTATGAATTCATTGCTAACCTATCCCGGATTATTTTCCAAGAAGAGAGATGAAATATTCATTTTCGTTGTGGGCTTCGAACAAAAAAAAGACAAGGTTCTCAGCACGAAAACAAAAAATCCAATGGTGAACGCAAGACGTGCGGGGACTGGAGGGGATGCGGCCGTTTTTCTCACAAAAAACACAACGATAACGCAAACGCGAAGCAGCACTTGCCACAAAACGAACCAACCGAAACCACGCTAAACTCCTCTAAAAAGGCCGCTCACACAAAATACTCAAAGAGCGAAAGAGGCATCTTCAAAAGGGGATACGGGCAGTGCGTGCGTGCCTGCAACAACGTTGTCATAATCTCTTCGGGATGCATGTCGCGCATGCTTCGGGTAGGGGGGGGGGGGGGGGAGGGGTACTCACGTATCCGTGCCGCTTCCCATTCTTCCAGGCCCCGATGTAACGCTTCCCGTCGGGCCACTCGATCGTGCCCTGTCCGCGAAGCAGAACGCAACAACCGACGAAGCATGTGTGTGTGTTGTTTGTGTTGAACACTTTTGAGCCGAAAGAACAACAAAAAAAAAGGGAAGGCCTGCCTTGTGTGTACAGTACGTTTTTTTCTTGTTCTTTACTGGAAGTACAAAAAGTAAATGGCATTGACCGCGCTAGCAGGCGAAAACGCCAGTCTCATGGCGGGATGAGATACTCTTACAACCTTCCAAAATCAAAGGCTTCTGCCGACAGGGGGTCGAGCGCAGGAGTTGCACAGCAATGTCCAGTTTCTCAAGTATTTCTTTCTACAAGTTTGTGTTTGTGTGCTGATTTGGTCCCATCTAGTCGGAGCGCCCGTCTACACGGTTCGGGACCGGTTGTGACTAGCCAGTACGATCACATGGGAAGAACGTGCGACGCAAAGCGACAGTTTTATAGTTTTGCTGTCGTTGATGTTTGTTTTCGGGTCATGAATACGGGGCGATCATGGCCTCTACACTCCTAAGCATCCGTACAGTAGTATCGCGCAACCGGAAGACAAGGTGATCTCGCTGGCATCCAAAACAAATGTCATGGCATATATGCGTACTCTCATTTACTTATATTGGGGCCGTCACAAAACTCCCCGTCTGTCACAGCGATAGCCTTAGGGTTAGTGTCAGGGTTTACGCACAACCCGCTGGTATACCGTATATGACACAAGATAACACACCCCCTTGACCGATTTTCAAAGCTCGATTTCTCAACAGCAGGAAGACCCACAGCGCCGAAAACGGCGGCGTTGGAACCGTCTCGTTGAGAGCTTTTCAAAAAGTTATCATTTCGTTTATGTATCCTCTTCGTCATCGAGTAAACGAGCTTTGAAAATCGGGCCAGGGGGTGTGTTATCTTGTGTCATATACGGTATGCCTCAGTTCCACGAAATGTTGCATGCCACGGGAGCGTCTCGAACGCGCAGGTTTCGATCGGGGGAGGGGGGGGGTATTTCACAACGAGACACCCACAAAGATACCTACCAAAAACCCAACATGCTTACGAATAGGAGTAGACTACTCCCGAGCGACGGGTTGGGTGTAGCACATGCGAACAGCGCACGCCTGGCGTAGACCACAACGGTTGGCGCTACCTTGGCTTGTGGTATTACAACAATCTCCTTTGCCGTCCCAGGCAATCGAAGAAAAAAGGGGAGGGGGGGGGGCACCTTCGCGAGAAATAAAAAATATGAGGAAAGAGACCAGGGAGGGGGTACGCAGACCCTAGTCCTAAACCAACTTCCCCAATGTTTTACTTTACCTAACATGTTTACTTCAGCGATTAACACTGCGAACGCTACGGCGGGGGGTGGGGTGGGGGTGGGGGTGGGGGGCTTCGGTCGCCCTGCCTGCTCTTCCCACCTGTCCATCCGGCACCCCGTCCTTGACGGCGCCAGTGTAGTCGCCCACTCCGTATGGAGCGCCACCATCGAACGAAAGTTTCACCTGAGGAGGCTTCAGAGCGCGGGGACGAACGAGAGGGCAGGCACAAACCTATAAGTAGATGTTTTCACGACCATCACAGAGCATATGAAGAAGATGAACAGGCACACGTGAGCGGTGTTCGCCGGTTTACGGAGATCGGAGCATGTGCATGTCGAGATCGGGATCCAAAACCGACCCGTGTCTTCATTGAAGACAGCGTACGCAACCGGAGGTAACCAGTAACCTAACTGCACACGAGCGAGCCTTTTGAAATGGCGAGCTCGGCCTGGAAATCGATCCACCCGTGCGAACGGTAGGACACCCATTGGGAGTGTTTTAATTCAAAGTGTGTGATACATGCACGGCAGTCAGGTCAGTCACGCTAGATTCGGGCGACAGCAGCCAAAAATATGGGCGTGCTGAGGCGGCCAATGGGGTCCAAGCCCGCCGAAACCACAGCTCAGAATGAGACGTGCTGATCGTGCGCTGTGGTTGGACGACCGCGGGACGTTCCCCTATACTACCCCCCGCGGGATGGTGACCCCGGACGCCAACTCATGGGAAATGTTGTGCTCCCACACACGGTCAATGCAGCAGTACGCGTAAGGGAACACTCTTCATCCCGAATGTACCCCTCAGTGCGTACCGACTACGGCAACATTCAGAGCGTCTTGTTTCGCCTCATCCCGAAACGCACCCCCCAGTGCTTCTCTGTTGCACGCGAAGCCAGCAGCGAATCCCCCTCTACGCCACACCCGACACTCGCAGACCTGTCGTCTCCCACCCCCGCCACTCCTCCATGCCTGCGTAACACACACCTAACCGCCTACAACGCACCTTGGCCTGCCTAACACACGCACACCCAACCGCCTACAACACACCTTGACCTGCAAACACACACACCCAACCGCCTATCACACACCTTGGGGTTGTTAGGCGGTGCCCCTCCGTCGCCGTCGGCACCCCTCGTCCTGCCAGACCCCCTGGCTTCCTTGCTCCTGCTCCTGCCGCGCGCCCCCCCGCCGCCGCCGCCGCTCCGGCCGCCGCTCCGGCCGCGCTCGCCGTCGTTGCGGTAGACCCGCTCTCTCGACGAACCCCGCTCTCTCGACGAACCCCGCCCTCTCGACGAACCTCGCGGTGGCTCCCGGGACGACGACTTGCGAGGCCGCTCCCTGGAAGACTCTCGTGAGGAGGCTCGCCGCTGGTGTCGCCTTGCTTCCTCGCCGCCTCCTCCGGTGGCGAAGAAACCGCCGCCGCTGCTACCGTTGGCCCCCACCAACTTGGCGCGGCTGCGGGGCGTGATGCTCCTGCTCCTGCTCCGAGACCCGCCGCGTCCGCTACGGCTGGCTCGCTCCCTCGATTGCTCCCGCGGCCGTTCCCGGGAGGGTTCTCGCGAAGAGCGCCTGCTACGGGGCTGCTGCAGCTTCGGTTCCTCGGCGGCGGGGCGGCGGGCGCTGCTGCCACCGCCGCCCTTCTTGAAGACCGCGCTGGACTGGGCCCGCGTCGACGCTATCAGGTCGCGTATCTCCTGGCCGCCGCTGCCGCCGCCGCCGTTGACGGACTTGAACGCGGCCACCGACGGTTGGGGACCCCGCGCGGCGCAGCCTTTGGCCTTGGCGCGTCGGTCCCTGGCTTCCCTGCCGCCGCCGCCGTCGCCGGGGTAAGCACCGGCCGCGGCCGCCGCCGCCGCCGCTTGTTCGGCGTCGTCGTCGTCGTCGTTGTCTCCGACACCGGCCGAACCCGCTTCCGCCCGCCGCCTCGCCTCGTGGGACACGACCGCGCCGTCCGACCGGTGGCGCTGGTGCCGCTGCTGGGACGGGATGCGCGGGGCGGAGGAGGAAGCGGCAGCGTCTCCCTTGGAATGGCCCTTGGAGTAGGAGGAGGACGAGGACGACTTCCGGGCGCGTCGCCGTTTGCCTTCACCCTCTTCCTCCCTTCCCGATTCGCTGAAGTCCGAGGACAGGTCGCCGGCTTCGACCTCTTCCTCGTCGCCGCCGTCGCCGCCGTCGCCGCCCTCGGAGGGACGGAAAGATCGCGATCGGCCTGCCGCTCCTCGAGAGGGCCGCTCGCTGCGGCGGCTGCTGTCGCTTTCCTCGGCACCGTCCTCGGACCGGCGGCGGTGCCGCGGGTCGTGCCTCCCGACCGAAGAAGAGCGGTGGCGGTCGCGCTGCTCGCCGCTGCCGTGCCTGCCGCTGCTGCTGGTGCTGTCCCGCCTCCCGTGGCCCTCCGGCCCGCGTCCGCGGCTGCTGCTGCTGCTGTCTCCCGCGGCAACCGAGCGGCTGCTCTTGGATAGCGCGGCACGCGCGGGAGATGCCGCCACCGCCAACACAGACTTGCCGCTCCTTCCCCTGCTAGAGCCGTAGAGCCCGCTGTTGTCCGTCTTTGGTGATCTGCCGCGCGTCTCCGGCTGCTCCTCCTCCAGTATGCCCTCCGGGTGCGGGACTCGCCGTCTGCTGCTGCCGCTGCGGCCGCTGCCGCTGCGGACGTTGCGAGCGCTCTGGGTGCTCCGGAAACTCTGCGAGCTGTGCGTGCTGCGCGTGCTGCGCATGCTGTGGGTGCTTCGAGCGCTGCGGGCCGGGCTGACGCTGCCGTTGGACAACCCCGCCGCCGCCCTCGCCGCCGCATCCTCCATCCTTCCCTTGCTGCTGCCGCGGCGACGCTGCTGCTCAACCGGGGGCTGTCGCGTCGACATAGTCACCTGCTCGACCAGGCCGCGCCTCGCCTGGCTGACGTGCGCGCGTCGGGTCCGGACGAACGAGGGTATCCCGTCAATCCCCGCCCCGGACCTGCTGCCGGACTCGAACGGAGAACCCCCGACGTTGTACTGGTCGCCAGGACCCACCTGCTGTTGCCTCGCGGAACGGTGCTCCCCGCTGGCGATTGAGAGAGCCGACGGCGATGGAGAAACGCCGGAGGCTGCTGATGCGGCCCTCGACAGACCGGAGGTGTCCCCGGTGCCGTTCTGATGCTGCTGCTGCTGCGGCGGTGGCAGGTCACTGCCCGTCTTGGGCGCGGGTGTCCCTCTGTCCGAAGAACGGTCCTCGAACCTGTCCTCGGAGGAGGTGTTCGTGACACTGCTCCTTCGCCTGCCGACGGAGCTCAGGAAGCGCGACAGTACTCTCGACCTTGTCGGCGGCTGCTGCTGCGGCAGCGGCTGCTGCTGCTTGGGTGCCCCCACCCCGCCCGCCGGAGCGTCGGGCGATGCGTCCCACTCCGACACGGTGCCCGCGAGCGTGCTGCCCGTCCCCTGCCGCTCGACGCCGCCGCCGCCCTCGTCCCCCCCCCCGTGGACGTCCGACCCACCGCCACCGCCGCCGCCGCCGCCTTCTAGGACGTTGGGCTTCTTGAGCCTGTCCACGCCGGAGGCTCGGTCCATGGCCGCCGTCGTGAGCTGCCTGAGCTCGCGCATCTCCTTGATGGCCGCCAGCACGTGCTTGTTCCTCGGTTCGGGCGCTGCGGGCGGCAGTCCCTCGGCGGGGGTGGTATGCCCCGACCCCGCTCTGCCGTGCCCCTGCTGATCACTATAACGAGTCTCCTCTTCCTCGCGTCCGGCGTCTTCCTCTTCCTCCTCCTCCTCCTCCTCCTCCTCCTCCTCTTCCTCTTCCTCTTCCTCTTCCTCCTCCTCCTGCTCCTGCTCCTCCTCCTCCTCCTCCTCCTCCTCTTCTTCCGCAACAACTTCGTGGCCGCTGTTCTTGCCCACGCTCAGCTCGCTCCTGGACCCGCCGCCGCCGCCGCCGCCGCCGCTCATGTTGATGCTCAGGCTGCTGCGCCAGCTCTCGCTCCTGCTCCCCCCGCCGCTCATGTTGCTGAGGCAGCTCTCGCTCTTGGCGCTGCTGCCGTCCGGCAAGGAGCAGTCGCCGAGGAGTCCCGAGCCAGCCGAGTTGTTGCGCTCGTGACGTCTGCCCTCCTGCGGGGGTGGCTGCGCCGAGCGTTCTTCCTTCGAGCTGTGCTTCGAGTTCTGGCGTGAATAGGGTAGGTGCAGGGCGCGCGGGGGGGGGAGGGGGGGTTCACACATGTAAACGCATACGCCGTAGTCGTTAGACTATTGACCTCGTAGATAGAGGGGGAGGGGCCAGAGGTGAAGTGCAGAGCTCCGGTCGTTCGAGCGGTGCTTTCGAGTTCTTACGGAAATTAGGAGGTACTGTAGATGGAGGGCGGGGGGGGGGGGCTACTCATGTTTTGAATGCCATATGCATAAATGCAGGACCGTTGACCGCGAGTCGTCGGGAGGACGCAGCATTGATAGAGCGAGGCCCGGAAAGGGCAGAGACCACCGTGGGCGGAACACAAGGTGAGTTTTAGACGGCGCGGAGGTTGGCGACACAACGCTTGGTTCACACCAATGGCGGCATTGGACGGGCACAGGAGCGCGTGTTGCCGGGAAACAGCAGGCAGGATTGGGTACAGTCCGTTGCCGGAGAGAAATGACGGGCGGCTGCTGCTGTATTGGCCGCTGCTGTGATACGAATGACAGGCAGGGCTAGAAGGTAGACCAGAGGCATCGGAGGGGGAAGGAAGGCAAATTTGCAAGGGCGGGTCTCGTCCATGCTACTTCTGATGGTTGTCTGCTCTCATCTGTTACACGTCCCCAGGTGGAGAAAAAAAACACAGACAGCAAAGAAGACGCTACCACCAACACATACAGTACCGCCCGAGAAAACCACAAACGAGGAGATGAGAAGATGGTGCGCATGGCAACAAAAAAACAAAAGTACGGTGAACCCACCTTGACGGGATTGCCGTCTCTCCAATGCCCCGCCCACACCCTCCCGTCCCGCCAAGTGTACTCTCCCTGCAGTGGCAGGCATTGTGGTCGCACCACACCCGCGAACATGAGTGGGGGGAAAGGGGAGGAAGAGAAGGGCATGGAGAGAGGAACAGATGAGGAGAAATGACAAGGAGGCGTCGGGGGAGGGGGAGGGGGGGGGTGAGGGGCACGTGAGAAAGAACACAAGGAGCGTGCGTAAGGGGTAGGGCAGGAAGGGGGGTACGGAAGTAGAAGACAGCGAGCTGCAGCACTATGAAAAAAAAAAAAAAAGTATTGGCAGCTACATACAATACGTATCACGGTCGTGTTTGCCAAGGGATGAACCAAAAGGGCCCGCATTGACGGAAGTGACTCGCTTTGCATCAGCAGCCCCCCGCCTCTGCGACATTCCGCCAGGGTTATGTATCGCCAGATACCCACGATACGGGATACACGGGATACGCAAAAGCCCAGTCAGCTACAAGATGCACGCAGCGTTTTCCAGAGTTTCGCCGAGTTCACTACAATTCCGCCGCGTTTTCCCAGAGTTTCGCCGCGTTTCTTTCTCACCACGCCGTGCCGCTTGTCGTAAGCCCACGAGCCCTTGTACACGCTGCCGTCGGGGTAATACCTCGTGCCCTCGCCGTGACGGAGACCGTTCAACCAGGTCCCCGTGTAAGGTTTACCGTCGGGGTATGTGAATGTACCCTGGGTAGGAGGGGCAGGGGGTGGGATTCGGATCAGACAAGCAAACGGTGTTCGCGGCGCACCACAATAAACAAGAAAACGGAGTCCACCGTCAAACGGATCCGACACGGTCGCAAGGCGGCCGCATGACATTAACTTATACCCGTTTGCGACTTTTCTAATTGTTTTGAGCCGAAGCAAACGATATGGGTAGAAACAACCCTGGAGAACCAGCGACAAGCGGACGGGCAGAAGAAGCGTACTCTTTCCATTTTTCCCATCTTGAGGGGCCCCTTTCAATGAAAAATCTCCCATCTCGCAAGCAGAGACGCCCACGAAACATCTCATTGGTTGAACACTCGGATAACCGCAGTAGTACCGCCTTATTAGAGTCATCTGATTTTTTGTTGCGCTGGTGGGGCTCACCACGCTGCCCTCTCTTGCCCCGCACAAGAAAGTATGATAGTGATTGGTTTATCGAAAGGTGAGCAGTCGATTCGATTGGTCGATTTGATTGGTGGATTCGATTGGTTCTCTCTCTCTCTCACCTCGCCGCTCTTCTTCCCTCGAATGAGATTGCCGTCATAGGCCTCGCCCCTTGGCGATGTCCAGTAGCCCTGCAAAAACAATAAAAAAAATCAGAAAAGACAGCCTAGAAAAACACCAGAAAGAAAAAAAACAAGAGGCCAAAATAAAAACACGCCAAAGCAATGCGAGTTTCCACGACATCAGGTAAATGGAGCAAATAATCAACAAATCGGCCCAACCAAGCAATTAAGACCGCAATCAGCCATGGACGAGCAAAAAACAATATCATCCACATAATACGGTGGCCACGGACTCTCGGGCAGGAATACAACAACAGTACGTGCACGTATACAGGATTCACAACAGAAAAAATGGTGCATCTATAGAAAAACACGCGGCTATATATTCAATAGCAGTTCATGAGTCTGATGGCCGAAGGCAGATCTCGAGGAACGAAGAAAAAAAAAAAACGGTTCAGGCGATGCCCAATGCATTTCGCGTCGCCCCCGTTCCATGCCGTCACCTTTCCGTGTGGCTTCCCGTCCTTCCACTCCCCGTCGAACGTCCTTCCATCCGTCCAACGCTGCCACCCCTGTGAAGTAATGCCATCGGCGGTGAGAAAGAAGGCCGTGGGGAATTTCGGTACAGCAGCAACAACTACGAGATCAACAACAGCAGAATAAAGTTACAAAATATCGCGAGGCAAACAACGACAACAGAGGCAACCAACATGTGCCATGACGAGAGAGAGCGCAAAAAAACGGTTGCCTCAAACAACACTCCTCCGAATCACTGCATTCATACCAACCCGAAGCAAAGCAAGGTAATCAAAACGACACCCGTCAGGGAAGGAAGACGATGAAGGGCGTCCGGTCTACAACCGACCGCTACAGTACAATATTAGCACCAACGAGAGCCAGCACACGACCACAGAACCCACGCAGCATCTCCAACCACGACGAAAACGACACAACAGAGGGAAGACCGCGTCGCCGTCCGACAAAAAAAGCCAAGTGGTCAACAATAAACATCGGCATGTAGGATCCACGCAAAACTAATTCTATGGTGCCGCCTAACCTTGCCATCTCTCTTGCCCTCCTTCCACTCGCCCCGATACTTCTTCCCGATGTGCCACACCATCTCGCCCTGTCATGTCACATGCATGTCACCCACGGGAAAAAAAAAAAAGGCAAGGTGTGGGCATGGCGAGTGACAGCAACGGCATCGTCGTGCGCGGAAAAGCGACCGACAGCAGGAAGAAGAGTCGTATCGTACAAACAGAAACACAAAAAGAAAGAAGGTCCCACCACTCACAACAAACTCAAGACCCTCTCCCTGTGGTCTCGGGCAAAATTCTCCAACTAGCTGATTCCTCCGCAAGTATCGGGGGTGGGGATAAAGCTGTTCCGAATGCAATTTAATAGTTCAGCAGTGGTCCCTGTATAAATGCAATCGCTTGACACAGAAGGAACTTGTGTGATACTCTGAACAATGCCGGTTGCCCACGTATCAAGCCGGTTAGAGGGGCTGGCGCCTAACGGCATTAACCGAGACCACTCCTGTACATACCTCGCCATGTGGAATGCCCCCTTTGGTGCTGCCGGAGTAGTCCCCGAACCCGTGGGGTGGCCCCGCATCGTACCGCATTTCCGTCACCTAAGACAGAACGGAATAAACACGTTTCGGAACAAAAAAAGCGGGGGAGAGGCGCAGAGATGTGGAAAGCGATAGACGCAAGAGAGAAGCAGAATGAGGGTAACAGTTAGAGAGAGAGGGAAAGAAATAGAGAGAGACACAAAGAGAGAGAAAGAGAGACAGGGAGAGACCATCGTGGAAAGCGGGCCCTGGTCGCACGGTCGACATGACATCACTCAAGTTCAACACGCTTTGGACAAGGCTTCCCACCGAATGAGGCAAAACGAGGGTACAGGGCCAGAGGTCGTGAACGACTCCGCGTCATCCCCGCTTGAACGCTCAACCGTAAAGGGCTACTGGCTGTGGTGGTACTTGGGTAAGGCCGGGGGTATACATTCTTGTGTCTGAAACCGGCACTACATGTGTACTTCGATAAAGCGGGGGCATAATGTGAAGACAACAACAACAACAACAATATTCTTCTTGTGGGAAAAAAGCGTGCCCGCGAAAAAAAAGGAAGAGGAAAAAGAAAGAAGGCACGTCGACGCCTCGGAGGAGCAGAAAGAAAACCAATCGAATCGTCCACAGCACTCCCACCCCTCCTGCTCTTGTGTCAAACATGGTGTTGTCGTAGGTATCCTGAACAGCACGTGTGTACACGGACAGCAGCAGCGTCCATACACGTACGTCCACAAAAAATATGGGAGCAATCAATCTAAATATACTGTGATCCTTTCCGCTGGGGTAATTTTTTCCCGTCCAGCAGCATCGTCGCCTGGTCTTCATGGTTTTCGTCCTGTCTTTCTTGGAAATACTTCTACACAACTTGTACATTGTCCGTATGTATGTGGTATACTATGCAGCATTTTGGCAAAAATGAACGAGCATGCCCGTTCGAGAAAATAATACAGCAGCCACCGTTAGAGGTTCGAAGGGATGCGTGGCAATTAATCTTGGTATTTGGTCAAGGGAACCTGTTGCTGCTGCTGGACTAATGTCATATGTGAATTGAATCTGTTTTCAGCCTGCTGCCGTGTGTAGGCACTGAGATGCCATGCCAGCGCGATGCCAAGCGAGTGGGAAACAAATAAAATTTCACCAATTTCACCCCCATCTTGTGCAGAAAAAAATGGAATCACAAGTCGGAGAGATGTCTAACCCCTCCTTCAAGCAGACCTACTGTAGTTTGAAAGCTCGATTGCTCTGCAGCCAAGTGGGTGCGGAAAGAGCCCCCGACGACGCGTTTCCGAAACCACCGCTGTTGGTGTTGCCACAAGCAGCTCGGTTGTGGGGCAGTCGATCTTTGAAAATCGGTCAATAATTGGGGGGGTGCCATCTCTCTCCGCCTCAACCGCATGTTCATGTTCTTTCTTAGCAACGCCCAAACTCGTTTGATCGACCTCTCGTCAGATCCAGCCAGCCCTTCTTCCCTGCTACATCACCCAACTCTCCAGCACGCAGGGACAACAGGGGGACTCAGGCACTCGCGGCGAACTGGAATTTTTTAGTCCTTCGACCACCGACACAAAGTGGGACAAAAAAAACGACAGATCATCAGTTCAACTGTTGTTGCTGTGGTCCGTTATCTGGAACGGGTAGTCTAGTCTTTGCAGTATATTTCCTAGACTACAGTACTATTTTGTAGACTAAAAAAATGCCGAGAGCAACCCTTTCACCCTTTCACCGTTGCACAAGTTGAATCGGGTTGATCATTAGCAAACACAACACAGACACCCACCCGACCTATCTACAGCAGCGTGCATTATTAATAGCATACCACACAACAGGACCACGCTATCATATGAAACAAAAATGGACTGGAATGGAACTCATCCTCACACCGACCGCCTTTGTGCAGTGTCAAGCCTGGGAGTGTTCGTTCATCGTCAGCAACATCAGCTGTACCTACGTAACGGTTTCGAACGGTTCGACCAACCACAAGCACCGCTCCAAAAACCGGGAGACTATCCCCACCCTTCAGCTGAAGAAATTGTTTCTTCTCTCGATTGCAAGCAAGAACGACTGCTGTGGGTAGGAGAGCACCCTACCGCATACAGCAGTACTCCTTTGGGGGTATTTGAACGGGTTCACATGCTGGGAAAAAAAGTGTGGTGGGGAGGATAGCGTGCCCAACACACGACAGGAATGCTGCAGGGATCGCCACACAACATGAGACAATTTCATTTCAGGATCAATTACGACAGAGACCGGTAACGTTGTCCATCCGTCCGCGCAAGAACTTCTACATGCATGTCGGAATAAAGGACGGAGGGAGCTGCTGCTGCTTTAAGTTTTGGAACAACAACGACCCCCCTGTGTACCCGACAACAACGGATAAGCAGAGAGACGTTCATCCAACAATAGCGATGTCTATCCGGCTGTGCCTGCACACAAGGGGTGTCCCAACAGGCAACAGACAACCAACGGCACACCTTCCAGCAAATTTGGGCATGAAGATGAATGTGGTGCATGCACGAGCCGCCGCCTGCCGCAGACATGAGGCAACCTCCGTAGCTCCCTCCTCTAGACTACATATCAATATTTCGTACACAAACTCGTCGAAAATTATTCTAGCGCGCGCTGCGGGTGTTGCATCACAAGCCAAACGCGGCGCGCCGCCTCCAACCCTCCCCTCATTGGCAAAGGATTGCAGCTTGCAGCAAATTTTCTGGGGGAATGATTTTCTTTTCTATTTTTTGTGGGGCGGAAACGGTTTTTGGGCACACAGCACCAGGGCACAGGATTACTTGCGAGGGGAGGTCCGCATCCTCTTTGTCTTGCAATTAGTGAGAGAAATAGGAACCCAGGTCTGTTTTGTTCCGAGACTTGCACCAGGTGTGCTCTGCCGTTCACCTATGTACCACACACGACCATCGCACAGGGAACAACGAAGTGTCGCACCACAAGTAGAGTAGGGCATTCACCGCGTGTGCAGCGGCTGCTGCTACAGGCTGTCGTCTGGCGGTCTGTGTGGTGTTCTTTCCGTGTTCCTGACACTTTTTATTCTGTCTCAAGCGCCCCGCACGTACGTATACGGAGAGCGATTGCTTCAATGAACACATTCTTCGAAAACTGAAACTACGATAGATACTTGTAGGGTGATGGATAGAGTGATCGTGTCGTGTTTGCGTTCCTCACGACACACGCGTGTCCAGCAATTTACACACGAGGGTTTGGCTGCAATCAATAATCGCTGGTTTCGAATCTCGATCGTGTGCGCGAACTTCCGCACATCCTGCAGCACCCTTGATGCAAAGCTCGGGGATTATTTGGGCAAACCACATGTAGGTAACTTTCCTCCGCGCTTACCCCAGATTTAAAGAACAAAAAATTGCTTGGAGGGTGGATGTGGCCGGATTGTTGCAGCCAAAGAGGTGTACATACCGCTGTAGGATGCAACCTTTTGTGGCTGTCCTATGCATGCGTAGATGCAGCAGGCACGAGTGGGGTGGAGTGGGGGGGGGAGTAACAACGCGCGTTGCTTGATGCACACGGTGCATTCGCGTAACCGTTGGAATAGCTTTGCGTGCGTGTCAGCCGCTCCGCCGATGAATCTTTTATATACACGTTGGTAGTGAAAAATCTGTTCATCATGGACACGGGGATTGGTGAGGTGTGGAAAAGAGACGAGGCTTGCTACAAGTGCCACCGAGTGGGTCTTGCGCTCCAAGCAGTGGTTGGGCACATCACAGCGCGTGGGTGTGAGCACGATCCTAGCGCATCATTTGAATGCAACACATGTACACAAACGAACAACTTGCCGTCTCGCTCACATTCACGGTTGAACTGCTGGCATCTTCTTGTCGGGGACCGTCGAGCTCCTCCTCCTCCTCCTCCTCCTCCTCCTCCTCTTCTGCCGACGACGACTCAATCAGGTGGAGCCCGTCGCTGGACAAGTGCTCCCGTCCAAGCCACGGCTTCTTCGCCTTTTGCCTACCGCTCTCTTTCCCTGCTGTGGCCGGGGAACCTGCCGCCGGCACAAGCGCCACCGACTTTACCACCGCCACAGAACGCTTGGCCACAGCAGCAGGAACGTTGTTGCCGCCAACGGTACTACTTTTTGACTCGGTAGAGGACGGTGGCGGGGGGGGCTGCTGCTGTTGAGGGTCGCCGTTCCCTCGCTGGAGGCTTTCCATGAGCTGGAGGATGCGCTGCGCTGGTTGGGCCTTCCGTCGCTTCGCGCCAGCGTTCGTTTCCATGGCTCTCGGCGCTGGTCTCGGCGGTGCCAAGTTAGGAGCGGTGGTGGTGGTAGACATTTTTTCTTCCAACGTCTCAAGCGTATACTCTCACACTCTCTCCTGTGCACTACAACAATACCCCTCCTTTCGCACGTGCCACCGCCCTCAAAGCGTCACGCCCTACCTGCTACTGCTGCGCATATCTCCGTTTGTCCTGACCGGGAACAACACCGCTCTCCCCACAAAGAGCAGCAGTAGTCAGTTCTCTCCGTGTGTACGCGGTACGCCGAACGCCGTCATGCATATCCTGCCCAGAAAAATCACGCACGAATTTTCGGAAGCGTTCACCGCCAATCAGCTATCTCCATTTAACTTGGCGCCCTCTTGGCGGCCTCTCTATTTTCTTTTTCGAGTAAATTCGGCAAATTACGCCGCTTTCTTCCGGGCTCCGCATTGAACCAACCAGTCCACAGACCAAAACACATCAGGCGGGAGACTAGGAGCTGCAATTAGCGCTTACCACATCCCTCACAGCAGGAGAGCAGGAGAGCTATCGTGTCTCACGCCTCGGCGGATCTTTCACCTGCGGAGGACAACACCCCGAAAGAACGGCCTTCTCGATTCTAATTTATTTATCTTTCCCAAAACCATTGCAAAATTGGGAGTTCAACGTTGGACATGCAGCGTGTGTGCGCGGGCAAGCGCGGCGCAATTTTTCAGCGGGTGTGTCCTCGTTGGTCCGGGGTTCTCTGCCGCAAGGCGCAGCCAGGTTTGTCTCTGCTCTGTGGGCGCTCTGCAGCACACACGTGCGAAGAGGAATGGCAGCCTCCGATGATGATCTGTACATGCTCCTAAATGTCGACAGGTGAAAGAGTTTGGGTGCTGTGTCTCTCTGCTCCTCACAGGCGTTGCGCGGGACATACATACGTTTTCGGTCCACATGACTCATCTCCCACACAGCGGCAGTTCAACGTGTATCAACACCATCAGTCACCCCCGCTCTGGTCTGGTGCTTTGCAACTCCTGCCTCGTCTCAATATTCAGCCTAACTCCTTATTTGCTCTTCAAACTTGACAGCAGTAGTGTAGCATGCAGCAGCAGCGCAGAGGTTTGGACTGTTCGGCAGTTCGTAGATTAGATCCGCCGCTTGCTGTGCTTGTGCTGCATGCTGTGCGGCCAGCAGTCTCGCATCGCCGCAAGCTGGCGCGCGAGGCCTCTCTCTTTCATGACTCCCGACCTCTTCTGTGCGCACGGGGAAGTGACAAAAATAGATCGTTCAATAAAGGAGCGAGAGCAATGCCATGCATCACGGACGGTAATGTGCACGCACCGCTGCACCAAGACATACCGTATATGACACAAGATAACACACCCCCTGGACCGATTTTCAAAGCTCGATTACTCCACGACGAAGAGGATGCATAAACGAAACAATACGTTTTCGAACAGCTCTCGACGAGACGGTTCCAACGCCGCCGTTTTCGGCGATGTGACTCTTCCTGCTGTTGAGAAATTGAGCTTTGAAAATCGGCCAAGGGGGTGTGTTATCTTGTGTCATATACGGTAGTCTCCTGCTGTCGATGTTGGTGTACAGATTGTCTTCAGGGCGAGAGAGACCGCATCGTATGATACGGCAGTCTATCGACCCTGCCCCCTTGTCCCACCCCCCGCCCCGACAAATAACCTCACGTGTACTTCGAAGCGTACATCTGAGGATGTGTGTGGTCACCCGGCGGGGCAAATCGTCAACGCCTTCTTTACTTGCATGCACTCGCCAAATTGAGTGCGAAAAACTGCGGTGGTATCAGAGGAAAAGTCCAAAGTGAAAATCCGGCTCAGAGAGACCCGAGTTTGGATGCTCAATCGGTAGAAAACATTCACAGAGCAGCTACGTACGCCTTGGCAGTCTCAGATCTACTGCTGCGGCTGTGTTATCGAACGTTGCCGCTGGGTCCAAATCCGCAGTTCTGGACCCTGATCCAAACCAAGCATTCGTCGCTGCGGTACTCGCCGCCGCAAGCCCCAAATTCCTCCAACTGCGGGCGGTACAAGGCAGCCAGTGTAGTGGTATGAGCTACCTGTACACCCGCTAAGGGGATTAGGTAGTAGACCGCGAGTGCAGCAGTGGAAATTGGATAGTTTGCACCCAGATTTGCGGCATTTTCGGGCCGCAGCTGCAGCCCCTCATGTCACCGCCCCAGCAACAGATCTGGGTCTGCCACGGCGCATGTCGCTCCTCTACTCTACTGGTATGCCTGTAGCATTGAGGTCGGGACTCCTAAAATGCAACGAACATGTGCAAGGACCCGCCGTATAGCTTGTATCGTCTTGAACTTAGAGTTATGGAAATTCCGTCTTGATTTGAGAGAAGATGTGTGGAGGTGGACTGCAAACATGCGGGTGGGGACAAGTCACAAGTCCCAGTCTCTGCTCTCTGCGACAACCGTTTAAGGGGTTATTTCTTGCGCAATACTGGCCTTACCAATCTCGTGTGAGGTCTCCGAGTGTTCTGTCGATTGTGTTCGGAAACAGCCAAGATATTGGTTCTCTGGCCTGCAGCACCGCCTTAAAATCGGTGCTAATGATGTAGTTGACGTAGCTACTATCGTTGCCGGGGGTGGTATCGAGACCCCGCATTTCTTCTGCTAGTGCCAGTTGGCGACGGGATGCGCAGCAGCGGGTGCACATGTTGGCGTGGGCCCAACGTTCTTTGGGACGAGGAGAGTGGGGACACGGGGAAAAGTACAAGAGGGGAGGGTGCTGACTTATACGCATACCAAGGGGAGTGTATCGCGTTTCGCATATTGTACCACTTCACACGAAACACTCTAGGACACGCGAGTCGCTCGCAACCAACCTCTTTTACCGAAGCCGCTTGAAACCAATCGTAAATAGACGAATCCCCTACGAAGCTGCACTCGTGTCTTGACCCCCCTTGCTACGTGTCAACAATTGTACGTCATTCATGCCGTCGGAACTCTTCGTGAAGGACGGCGGATGCGGAGGAGGTTCGGCGGGCGTACCTAGGGCTGGCGTTGTGCCTGCACCCGGATAAGGCGGTCGCCAGGCATGCCATCGCGCAGCAGCAGCAGGACCAGGTGTGTATTTGGTACCTGTCACAGTACGCAGCGGAGAATAGCCAGGAAGAAGTAGTCTACATACTGCTGTCACAGGGTTGCAGGCTCGATTCATGAAGAAGGGAATAGGAGATACTGCCCGAGGTGTGCCGCTGCAAGGTAAGGTGCACAACGGGACACTCTTTTTTCGAGGTCAGATAGTATGCAGCTTCGTTTGAGCAGAATTGGGTCACTTTCCTCTTGGGTCTCCCCTTCATTGTTCTCCACGTCACTGGGAGGAATCGGAACTCCCTTTGTTAAATTGAAGCCTTCCGTGTACGTTCCCAGCTGCGTTACTACATGTACATACCGAAGGGTGTACATCGTAGGCTGTCGCCAGAATAGACAGGAGGAAAACACACACAAACACATCGGAAGCGTGATCGTCGACTTGAGCACCAAATCGCGCGGAAACCCCTTCTCACGAATGCGTGTTCCATGGCTAACGCTGCTACTGCTGCTGCGGCGGCTGCCCGATTGATGGAGCTCGGCATATTTTTACCGGCTTCTCTGAGAAGATCTTCTTACACCCGAAGCGTCTTCTTTTTTAGTGCCGTAATTTCGGAGCCGACTGGGATACGGCCGGTTTGCCGATGCCAGCTTTGCAGCACGACACGCTCCGATGCCGCCCAAGTCACCAAAACCATACCCACCAGTTCTGAAAACCCAGAGAAACAGAAACCCCGTCCTCTTTTCTGGCCGACTCCCCTCCCCAAACAACACGAAATCGATAGGATGGGGAAAACGTTTTGAAGCCACCTTTGGCAAAGTAGGAGGGAGCGATTGGCCATGGGCGATCGGTCCTGGGGGAACAACGCTAGAGGACGTGTGGTCAACAGCTGAAGCATGCTTGACATGAGTACCCCCCAATGCTCCGCCCTCTCGAGGAGTTGTGGTCAATGGTAAGGCATGCTTGTCATGAGTACCCCCCCCCCCCCCAAACGAACGGGTGAGCAGAACGACGGCCCCGTCCTAGACCTGGCCAGCCGGCAGGGTTCGATGCGGCGGGTTAGAAGGGCCGCCGACGAGCAGTTCGTCAGGGTACAGCGAGCGTACCGGGTGCTGTGCGACCCGACCAAGAGGCTGGTGGGTCCCTTCGTTCCGTGGGGCGGGCTTTTACAGGGTACTGCTGTAGATTGGTTGTGCTAGGAGGACGCACGCTGCTGTATACGGGCAGCGTCTCTTCTCCGAAGTTTTCTGTCTTGCCACCGCAACACGTGGCCCTGCTCCGTCCTCTCGGGGACGCGTGGTCAATGGTCTATTTGCTAAGGTGCGCGAAACATAAGAGTATGTCTCCCCGCCCCCAGCCCTCGTTGTGGTTGTTTGTTGTTGCTTGTGGTGCTTGCAGAGGTTGGCGGCGTTGCCGTTCGAGCAGTTGGTGGTGGTGTGGTGGTGTTGCTGCTGCAGAGGTTGGTGGTGTTATTGCTGTTGCTGCCTGCAGCAGTCGTCGTAGTTGTTGTTGCTGTTGCATCTGTTGTTGCTGCTGCTGTAGTTGTCCCGCTGCTCGCAGATCCTCGGTTGTGCTTTACCCTGATATATACCGGCTACCATGTACACAAGAAAACACCCCGGTGATATCTAACTTTTGGGTTCTAATAATCTGTAATCGTGTGGGTCGTGTTTTTTTGCGTATGTGGCCGTATGAGAGTGTTTCTATTTTTTGGGGGATCTCATTTTGACCGCATGTGGTATTGGGGGGTGTTATCTAGAGTGTTTTCTCGTGTCATTTGTGGTACCCCGACCATCATGTGCCTGCCGGCCGGATGTGTACCTGTCGTCAGGTGTACGACGAGTACGGTCTTGAGGGGCTGGAAGCCTTCGAGCGGAGCGAGATTGGCAAGAAGAGCGTGGGCATGCCGCAGAAGCGTCCCGCAGAGGTAACTCTAGCCTGCTGCTGCTGCTTGTCTATTGCCGTTGCGGCGGTCTTGGCGTACCTGGTCTACAAGGCTTGGATTTTTCTCTGGTCTGGAATGGGTCTGCGATACTACTTTGTGGCCACCCATGTTGGTCAGCAGCGCCTCAGGCCTTAGGCGTGCGCACGTACTCCGTAGCCCCCTCTCGTTCTCTCAGGTGTCACGACCTACGACTAAGTACCACGTACTTTGCTCTCCCCAAAAAGTGTCCAGAAGGGGGCACGCGAGATCTATCCTTTGTGACCCCGAATTTTCCGGTAATGATGCTGTCAATTATTTCCGTTCCACAACGAACGATCATTTTTTTGCGTCTACGAGAACAGATCTAGCTGTTTTTTACAGTAGGGCGGTGGGTACCATGGCCTTGAGAAGATGACCAGCACGGCGACCGCTCCCTCCATAGGCTCTTGAGTCTTGTGCGGACCATGTTCGGTTCTGAGCGTCGACGTGCGAAAGCTCAACACTGCACTCTTGTATGGCGACGATCTCACGCAATTATGCTCCACGATGTTTCTTCGATATTGGTATGTAGCTCATTTTTTTGCCTCTGTTGTGTGGCGTTCGCCCTGTGTGACCACGGCTGGTGCGTCCAGAATTTGTACCGGAAAAGTGTAAGGACATCGTCCAGAATTAATAAATGGGATGACCAAGTATATGGTACTTGCATATGTATCGTCCTGCCTCGATGTGTTCGGCTCAGGTCCGACGTCTGCTCGACAGCCTCCTGCGCGAAGCCGCCCAGAAGAGACAGGACGTCGCCCTGGCCACCTTCGGCGGCATGACAGCGGAGTGCGTTTGCCTTCCCATCGTGGACGTTAGCGGGAGGCTAGTCAAGCGGAACCTCTTGCCTGAGGTGAGAACGCGGTGTTTGTGTCGTTTTTATTCTTTTTGTGTCTCCCTTGTCACAGCACTATCTACCTGCACTTTTAGCGAAGGTAGGCGTTGTTCGGTTTTTCTTCTATCTTTGCTAGTTTTCCCCGTCTCACAGCAGCAGAATCTACCCGCACTTATGGTGCCGCCTCCTCCTCCTCTACTGTGGAACCACGACATGAAGGGTCGCGCGTGTTTCACTGAGCTACCTCGCTTTTCTTGGCACAAGATCCCACGAAAAATTCTGAGCGATCGACGGAGCGACGCGTCTTCCGATGAGCATGCAAGCAAGGGTGACGTATGTAGCTGCTGCTCAGTAATTCTGGACAATATCTTCTTGCCCCCCGCCCCCGGTCCTCCGAGAGCATTTTGTGCCACAGGTTTTCTCTCCCCAATATGGGTACGCTCAGCGTACGATCCCTTGTCTTGCCCACCTTTCCCACACAATCTGTTTGTCTGGGCACACAGCTCTTGGGCCTATCAAATACTATGCTTCATAGTTGGTTTATTGTTCGCCAGAAGTACACCGAGCAAGATCTGTTGTCCTGTTCGATTGTAAACCGAGAACCCCCCCCCCCCCCT